GGGGGGGGTGATGGGGGGACATTCCGGGGGCAGTGTTCCAAGGGGGGGCGTGATGGGGGGACATTCCAGGGGGAGGGTGTTCCAAGGAGGGGGCATGATGGGGGGGTGCGATAGGGGGTGTCACTTAGCAGCCCTCATCCCACTTGCAATGAAATCACAGGGACATTTTCAGCAGCGCCCAGGTGACTTAGGAGCCCCTCCTACCCCCTGCAGGCTCCTAAGTCACCTAGTTCCAAGGAGGGGGCATGATGGGGGGGTGCGATAGGGGGTGTCACTTAGCAGCCCTCATCCCACTTGCAATGAAATCACAGGGACATTTTCAGCAGCGCCCAGGTGACTTAGGAGCCCCTCCTACCCCCTGCAGGCTCCTAAGTCACATAGGCATTTATCAACGTACTGATTGCCTTCTGGGCTCCATAGCTTCTCCTCCCACACAGGCCGCGGTCACGGGGCGAATCCCTTTGGCATCCCCTTGAGACTCTTCCCTCCCTTTCCACCCTCCTCGCCTCAAGCGTGGGCGTGAGAATTAGGCAAACTCGTCTAGGCCTGCTCTCCCCGCCGGTTTCATAGAAACCTCCCCCTTACTGCTTCAAATACCCTGCTACCACAGCCCAGAGGCGTGTGAGCTTTCTTGCCCCAGGATGGCGCCAGGAAGGCATGTGTGCAAATCTGCACACTTGGAAATCTTAAAAAGTGTCCGTTTTCCCCGGCTGCGATGCTAGTCTGACACCTCCCCAGTTCCGTGATCTATTCTGGCCTCCTGGATAACTAGGACCCTACCAAGTTCACAGCCACGCAAAACACATCCCGGCCGGTGAAATCTGGTGTCCTCCCATAAAATCTGTCCTTTTGTGTGTGCTTGTACTCTCTTCTGTACAGATTTCAGGAGGGACACCAGCATCTCTCAAATTGGGGATCCAAGGCGTGTGCAGCTGTGCACCACCAGTAGAATGACATGCTGCTGGCAATGGGCAGTGGTGGGCGCTCTGTTAATCAGCTGGGTGGCATGTGAATCTCTCCTGGGCAGCCGCCCAAGCACTCAGCTTACAGGGAACACTGATCACAAGGTTATTTTACGAGAGTCACGGTGTTGCCACCTTTACTTCTGCGCTGCTGCCTTCAGAGCTGGGCATCCGGAGAGCGGTGGTTGGAATGTTGGCCGGGCACCCGGCTCTGAAGGCAGCTCCCCACCAGCAGCAGGGCAGAAGTAACGGTGGCAGTGCCATACCCACATCGTCCTTACGTCTATACTGCTGCTTTCAGAGCTGGGTGGCGAGAATGGTGCTGCCGACGGAGGACCCAGCTTTGCAAGCAGCAGCACAGAAATAAGGGTGGCAATACATTACCAGGTCAGCCTTCCTTCTGCACAGATTCAAGACTCCCCTTGCAGCCGCACCACAGCTCCCTTTTGGGTCAGGACCCCTCCAATTACAACACCTGTGCCATTTCCAATGTAAATAGCTGCCAACGTGACATTTACTTGCGGATGAAGCTTTGTGTCGCTTGAAATCAGAATCACCTGGCCACGTGATGGCAAGAAATGCGACACTGTGGGAGGTGTTCTTGTGCCTGCCTGGGACTTGTTCCCCTCCGTTTGTCTAAACACAAAGGGAGAGGGGTGTGGAGATGGAGCTAATAGACGACTGTAATGTGAAAACCTGTAGAGTGCATCTAATGTCAGTACAACGCCTCCTGCCGACAGGCTGTGCAAACCACAGATGTCTGCTTATGTACCTTATTGTGGCGTGTGTCTCCCCCGCCAACACACACTATAAAATACAACACCTTGCGCCTTCATACTGCCGCTGCACACCAGCATCTCTTCCAGCGTACCGGCCTTTGTGGCCACAGACTGGCTCACTGCTCTCCTTGCCTGTGCACACCAGGATCACTGCTTCCCGGCTCCCAACATGGTCGCCAATGCAACGCGTCTTCATTGACAGGGCTCGACAAATAATACAATCTACTCGCCCGTGGCGAGTAAATTGCAACCTGGAAGAGCCGGGTTCGGGCGATCTGCGCGTGCGCAGATTGCCAGACAGCGTGGCTGGCGAGCGGGGCTTGCCTGTTCATTGACATACAGTTCTGGCAGTATAAAGGGGGCCTGGTCAGCGTTTCCCAGTTTAGGCCCTGGTACATTGCGGCCAGGTCTACACTAGACCTGGAAGGTCGGCTTAAGCCGAGCTTGGCACAGTCCCCACTGTGGGAGGCCGACAGGAGCAATCGCACCCTTCGGCTTCCCTTACTCCTCACACAAGCAGGACTATTGGCCGCCGGCGGGGCCGCCCTCTGAGTTTGATTTAGCAGGTCTTAACTAGACCCACTAAATCAAACTCTGGCAGATCGATCGTGGCATTGTTGATCTTCCGTCTAGTGAAGACCTGACCAGCCAGAGCCCTGTAAACTGGCCTGAGTATACATGAGAATTAGGATCAGTTACTGCCCATGTGCACACCTCACATCTGGTCACGGTCAAGTTCTACTTAATTCAAGATCAAGGAGAGCCAGGCTGTAGAGAGGCGGCCAAGAGAGTGGTTTTGGCCCAGTGTTTACAATACAATAAGGAACTTGATGTTTGTCCAGAGCCTGATTTTGAAAAGTTGCTTCCAAGCACACACGTGCAATCCCCTACAAGGATTGGGAGCAAAATACTATCGCACATAAATAGCGAGGGAGATGTTTTCAAAAGCGGGTCCTGACTTTTGCTGCCTCAAGTTTTGGGTGCCCCGCTAAAAACCCCTGAAACTGAGCATCGGAATTAATGCCGGCTTTTGCTGTGTGGCTATGGCTGACAAGCAGGGGGTAGGACTATGGGGCTAAGCTGAACCCACAATGATCTGGGCCATCTCGCTTAAAAATGGCGACTTGGTTTGCTACTTGGGCTCAGAGGAGCACTGTGTACTCTCAAACATAAGAGCTGGCACCACTTGCGTCAGAGGTGGGGAAATTGCGCCTTCATACTGCCGCTGCACACCAGCATCTCTTCCAGCGTACCGGCCTTTGTGGCCACAGACTGGCTCACTGCTCTCCTTGCCTGTGCACACCAGGATCACTGCTTCCCGGCTCCCAACATGGTCGCCAATGCAACGCGTCTTCATTGACAGGGCTCGACAAATAATACAATCTACTCGCCCGTGGCGAGTAAATTGCAACCTGGAAGAGCCGGGTTCGGGCGATCTGCGCGTGCGCAGATTGCCAGACAGCGTGGCTGGCGAGCGGGGCTTGCCTGTTCATTGACATACAGTTCTGGCAGTATAAAGGGGGCCTGGTCAGCGTTTCCCAGTTTAGGCCCTGGTACATTGCGGCCAGGTCTACACTAGACCTGGAAGGTCGGCTTAAGCCGAGCTTGGCACAGTCCCCACTGTGGGAGGCCGACAGGAGCAATCGCACCCTTCGGCTTCCCTTACTCCTCACACAAGCAGGACTATTGGCCGCCGGCGGGGCCGCCCTCTGAGTTTGATTTAGCAGGTCTTAACTAGACCCACTAAATCAAACTCTGGCAGATCGATCGTGGCATTGTTGATCTTCCGTCTAGTGAAGACCTGACCAGCCAGAGCCCTGTAAACTGGCCTGAGTATACATGAGAATTAGGATCAGTTACTGCCCATGTGCACACCTCACATCTGGTCACGGTCAAGTTCTACTTAATTCAAGATCAAGGAGAGCCAGGCTGTAGAGAGGCGGCCAAGAGAGTGGTTTTGGCCCAGTGTTTACAATACAATAAGGAACTTGATGTTTGTCCAGAGCCTGATTTTGAAAAGTTGCTTCCAAGCACACACGTGCAATCCCCTACAAGGATTGGGAGCAAAATACTATCGCACATAAATAGCGAGGGAGATGTTTTCAAAAGCGGGTCCTGACTTTTGCTGCCTCAAGTTTTGGGTGCCCCGCTAAAAACCCCTGAAACTGAGCATCGGAATTAATGCCGGCTTTTGCTGTGTGGCTATGGCTGACAAGCAGGGGGTAGGACTATGGGGCTAAGCTGAACCCACAATGATCTGGGCCATCTCGCTTAAAAATGGCGACTTGGTTTGCTACTTGGGCTCAGAGGAGCACTGTGTACTCTCAAACATAAGAGCTGGCACCACTTGCGTCAGAGGTGGGGAAACGGCTCCTGGCTTGCCTGGATCTGGCCCCTGAGGCTCAGGGCTGCCCCCCAGCACTGGGGAGGCTGTGCTGGTGCTCCAGTCCCCATGTTGCCCCTCGGTGGGGCTGAAGTGCCCAAAATCTACTAGCCTGGGCCCTCCCAAGCTCTGGTGCGTGGGGAATGTGGGGAGCATCTTTCTCCTCAGTCGCGGGCCATGTCAGTGCGGGGTTCTTTCTTTTCACTTGTGTGTGGCCCCCGACTGATTTTTCTGTGGGTTAGCTGCCCCCGGCCCAAAAAAGATTCCCCGCCCCTGATTTAAGTAGGATTTGACTTAACTACTCGGCTGAAAACGTAGTCAATACGTAACATTCGCAAATATGCAGGTGGACTCGAACCTGCGCCCTCTGGAGCTTAGTGCACGCGCCTCTACTTGAGGGTTGCTCAACTATGTAGCCCTGGGGGCCACAAGGATACCGAGGCACATGCCGAGGGCCACAACTTAAATGTGGTTGTATATTCGTGCAAATATATGCAAATAGCTTCTTTCACACTGACAGGCATAAATACAATGCATTTCCCACAATGCCTTGGTGCTCCTGGCACCTTCTCCCTGGGGGCTAGAAATGCTGACCCCCTGGACCCGTCTGTTCCAGCCAGCCCGTCTGCTCCCTGGGAGAGGCCGCGCCGGCATGGAGCGTGTTCTCAGGGGAGGCCACGTTCAACGGATCCCACCCACGGTCTCGCCCAAACCGCCCTGCTCTCCATCATGAGCTAAAAGCCAGCTGGCTGTTAATTAAGGCTGGAGAGCAGGTTCCTTATTCTCTCAGGAAGTGATCTCGGTGCCTCACCCCCAGCTGGTGTAGACACAGAAGCACCACGCGGCTTTTCCTCGAGCTACCCCATGGTTTATAGACCGTAACGTCTTCCTTTCCTCCGTTCCAAGGTCAATAACCCAAGTCTTTTCCTGCGGTTTAACTGCATTCCTCCACGCGGGAACACTGCACCCCCTTACACACGGGGACAGACCGCGTGGGTGACGCAGCGCCGCCTGTCTCGTAGGCCTTGTTCAGCGAATTCAGCCCTCGCACCAGTCCCAGCTTGTGCCGGATGGAATGGTCCAGGTTGATGGTGGCCTTTAGAAAGACGTTGGCCTCGTGCACCGTGAACGGGAAATCCTTAGCCAAGAACATCTGGAAGAGTTCCGAGTCCCCGTCCAAGGCGAGGATGTTCTGGAGGTCTTTGTGCATGGAGTATAGCTCTCTGCAGTTTTCCACAAAGATTCCCCACAGGAGTCGATTCCTGAACTCCTCCTCCCATGGCCGCATCTGCTGCCGGTCCTCAAGACACTGCAACACCCAGCTCAAGCGGCAGGGCCACTGGTTCGCCAGGACCACCCAGGCAGCCACGGCCCTGGCAGACATGGTATGTCTCATAACGTTCTGCTGCAGCAGGAGCCGGATGGTGATGGGGACTGTGTTGACGATCCTCCTCATTTGGATAATGCTGTCGGGGATGTATTTGTGGAGACAATCGGCAGCGTCGTGGAGGGAATAAAAGGCTTCGTGAATGTACCTCACGGCTTGGGCGTCGATTTGGCTTTGGTCCAGCTCACCAGGCGACTCCATCTCGACCAGCTGTATCGTTTTCCCCTTCACGCTCCGGACACCCCGTTCGACGTTTCGGGTGATGATCTTATACATCAGGTCCTCCCGGCTCTGCACGGCGTCCTGCAGCTGCTGCAGCTTGGACTTGGTGCCCATCTCGGGGTGCGGTTCAGGAAGAGGTACCCGTTGTCGGCCATCCCTTTCATGCAGCTGGTTTGCTCCAGGCACGAGGCAATGATGCTGGGATCCACCACCAGGATGAAAATGAAGGGGGCGTGCGTGTCGGAGAGCAAAGTGTTTATGGCGTTCAGCACCCCGACCACCCGCTCCGGGTAGCACATGTCCAGGCTGGTGATTTCCAGGACGATGCGTAGCCGCCGCCTCTGGTAGATCTCCATGTAATACACGAAGCTGGTCAGCATCTCGATTTCCTTCTTCACTTCGCTCATGAAGCCCAGGTGGCTGCTGAACTTCTGGCTGTCCGTCATCCTTCTTCGCCACCGAGAAAACGGTCATCAAGATTCCCGAGCCGGACAGGGTGGTGGTGGCGCTGCCGATGGCCGTGAGCGCGCTGCTGTCTTTGACCCCCGGGACGAGGAGCGCCACTAACAGCAGGCTGAGGCCGACCAGCAGGACGAAAATGAGGCCTCCTAACACCAGGCAGGTCCGCTTGTTGAGGAGCCATTCCTCCTGGCAAAAGCCGGAGGCGAAGATGGGCCTTTTCCCCATCACATGGTAAAAGCACAGCTGCAGGGTGGCAGAGCGTGGTGACCAGCCCTGCCCACAGTTTGTCGCTGCCGGCGTATTGCCAAGCGCTAAAGCGGATGAAGATGAACTGAATGTTCTCCCTCCGGAGGTGGACCTCGGTGATGACGGGCTGGTAGAAGGTCAGATACCATAGGAGAAGGACGTAGCCCCAGCCTTTGGGTCGCCTCGGCTTTTGGTGTGATTTTCTCCGCTCCTCTTCTTCCCGCCGAAGGGATTCTTCGAGCATGTAGGCTAGAGAAGCAGAAAAAACCCCAACTGGTCACCAATGTCCTCTCTAATTTTTTCCACCCCGGTGCGGAATAATTTTATGTGCACCACAGCATGTGCAGATGTGCACCACCTATAGCAGGGGTGGCCAATCCGAGGCTTGCAAGCCACATGTGGCTCTCCCCGCCCCCCCCCCCGGGTGCAGCTCGCGAAGCCCTCCCCGTGGCTCGAAAGCCGTCCCCGTGTCCCCAAAAACGTCTCTCTCCTCCCGGCTCTCTGTGCTGACCTGGGTAGGGGAGCCATCCTGCGCGGCCATGAAAGCTGCAGAAATAAGGATGACGGCAGGTGGCAGGAGGCAGGAACCTGCTATGGCCAAAAAGCCTCAAAACGAGTTTAAAGGGGCAGAGCCTTTTTTTTAAGGGTTTTTGTTTGTTTGTTTGTTTTTGTTCGACAACTTTGCCCCCGCTCTTTGCGCTGGATCCACTGCTATCTTGGCTCTTTGCCCAGAATGGGTTGGCCACACCTCACCTATCCAAACACAGGCTGCCGGCCGTGGGTGCTCTGCTAATGAACTGGGCGGCAGGCACTGTAAATAAGAAGCAGGCAGCTTTGCCTGCAAAGTGTCGTGCTGATTTGGTTTTTTGCGTGCGGCGATGTAAACTAAATTCGCCATTTGCACATTGCGCCGTCGCAGGACAGCGAGCGCCCCGCCGTACGTGCAGGAGGCGAATTAGAAACGTCTCGGGTTTCTCGTTTCTACGGTGCCGACGTTTGTAATAAGAATAAGAAAATAAAGTGAGTGCCCTTCGCTTTGGGAACTCCTCCTCCGACTCCCAGCAGGGGACTCGCTGAGGACCGGGACCCTGAGAAGCTCCATGCTTGGATACCCATGGCACTTGCTTCTGAGCACGCTACCAGTTGCCTCGGAGCTGGACTCTGAAGTGGTTCGGGTACCAGTCACACAGCGACTGGCTCCCTGCTGGGTTGGTAGGAGGTGAGGGGTCCTCTCACTCCCCCGGCAGCCTGCCTGGTGCTGGCCTGCCCTGCTCCACCCATAGGCAACGCGTGGTAGCACCCGGGAGGTGCACCGCCCCCCCGGCACCCTGCCAAAATCTAACGGAGGTGCATTAGGGATGGAAAAACGGGGAACAAATATTAACCGTGTAGCCAATGCAACTTTTTATCGGTTACACGGTTAACGGTCCTCTCACTCCCCCGGCAGCCTGCCTGGTGCTGGCCTGCCCTGCTCCACCCATAGGCAACGCGTGGTAGCACCCGGGAGGTGCACCGCCCCCCCGGCACCCTGCCAAAATCTAACGGAGGTGCATTAGGGATGGAAAAACGGGGAACAAATATTAACCGTGTAGCCAATGCAACTTTTTATCGGTTACACGGTTAACTGCTCCCATGGCTGCCGTGGCTTCCGGCCCCGTGGGGCTCCCAGTGGCTCCCGGCCCCACAGGGCTCCCAGTGGCTCCCGGCCCCACAGGACTCACCCCGTGGGGCTGCTGGGGCTGTCAGGATCTTCAGTTCAACTCTTCTCTTCCTAGGTCTCCTCCTCACGCCCCATCCTGTCCCTCCAGTGACTCGCCCAGCCCCCTCGCTCTGCAGGCCCCAGTGGCCTGTCCCCCCTGGGGGGGCTGGCCTGTCTGCCAGCACCTGTACTCCTGCAAGGGGACACCCCAGAGCCTCCCCCGGGAGCCCACCTGTAATGCGGTCCAGCAGCGAGTGAAATCCGGAGGGAGCAGAAAAAGCCGATGGTGACGGGCGTGGAGGTGTGCAGCAGGGTCTTGGAGAGGCAGCTGCAGTAAATGTCATCTTCCGTCAGAAAATCTGGGGAGGAGGAGACATCCGTGAGCACAGAGGAAAAAATGCATCTGCCCCCCCCAAAATGCCTGCACGTAGGGCAATGGGAGGAGAGATGTCCGGCGACACCCCCAGGTGGCAGAGCGGGTACAGTTGGCTCCGACCCCTCCCGCCCTGGAACCTCCCCCCCTCCAGCGCCGGAGACGTGCCAGCAGCGGAGGGGCAGACAGGGAGAGGGGCAGGAGCACAAAGGGGCATGGCAATCCCTACGTGGGGCGTGGCCCCTAAGGAGGCCCAGCCAATGGGGCAGCACTAAAATGGGTGTCCTTGGCAGCTCCCCAGGTTGGGGTGTCCTGCATAAATGGCTGAATGAATTAGCGAAGTGGACCAGCCCGGGAGACAGACGGAGACCACAAACAAAAGATAACGAAGCCTGATCATAAACATCAACGGATCCCCGGGGGGGGGGGACCCCCAAACAAACACACACAGGCAGCAGCACGACCCTCAAAACCCACAGACTCCAATGGGCTCCCACAAGTACAAGACGGGGAGATCTTGCCGTGACATTTTGGGTTTGGTCCTGCCAGGCAGGCCTCGCCGGAGCCCTGATTGTGTGTGCGTGTGGGGGGGTGTAAATGCATCGGCTGCCTTTTCAGACTGTATTTTTAATAACCACGGCACTGAGCCTCTCCCCCTGTATCGCCGGGTGTATCAACCCCGCACTGGGCCTGATGGAGTTACCCTGGCTCAGCTGGCTGAGGAAGCCCCGCCCCCACAGCCGTACTGGGCATGCTCCAGCTGGAGGCCGGCTATAAAAGCCTCTGGAGCTGCTCAGTTAGGGCCCCCGGCCCACAGGAGCGCCTGGGGAGGGAGCACCAATGGACCACACAGCGATGGCCAGGCTGGGTGTATCAACCCCGCACTGGGCCTGATGGAGTTACCCTGGCTCAGCTGGCTGAGGAAGCCCCGCCCCCACAGCCGTACTGGGCATGCTCCAGCTGGAGGCCGGCTATAAAAGCCTCTGGAGCTGCTCAGTTAGGGCCCCCGGCCCACAGGAGCGCCTGGGGAGGGAGCACCAATGGACCACACAGCGATGGCCAGGCTGAGAGGGACGGCAGGGGAAGCCCCCGGAGCGGAGGGACGGAGCGAGCTGCGTATCGGATGCGGGTAGGAAGTCGCCCAGGGCGGGAATTGCTCCCCGAGAGCTCGGCGTGTTGTGGTAGGATTCCCCCCTGAGCTAGCACTGCCAACAGGGCCTTGGGCCCCCATCCCCCCCACGGATACCCCCGTGTGCGGGAGCTTTGCTCATTGTGTATGGACCCTGTGGCCGCAGGGCCGTACCACCTGGAATACAGGTGGGTGGGGTGCATATGGGCTGAGACTGTTGGGCCGTACTACCTGGAATACAGGGAGTTGCATACGGACTGAGGCCACTGGGCCGTATTACCCTGAATATGGGTGGAGTGTGTACGGACTGAGGTCACTGGGCCGTACTACCCTGAATACAGGGGGAGTGTATACGGACTGAGGTCGCTGGGCCGTACTACCCTGAATACAAGGGGGAGTGTATACAGACTGAGGCCGCTGGGCTGTACTACCCTGAATACAGGGGGAGTGTATACGGATTGAGGCTGCTGGGCTGTACTACCCTGAATACGGGAGGAGTGCATATGGACTGAGGCCGCTGGGCTGTGCTGTGCTGTGTATGGGCCGTACTACCTGGAATACAAGGGGTTGCATACGGACTGAGGCCACTGGGCCGTACTACCCTGAATACAAGGGGTTGCATACGGAGTGAGGCCACTGGGCCGTACTACCTGGAATACAAGGGGTTGCATACGGACTGAGGCCACTGGGCCGTACTACCCTGAATACAAGGGGTTGCATACGGAGTGAGGCCACTGGGCCGTACTACCTGGAATACAAGGGGTTGCATACGGACTGAGGCCACTGGGCCGTACTACCCTGAATACAAGGGGTTGCATACGGAGTGAGGCCACTGGGCCGTACTACCTGGAATACAAGGGGTTGCATACGGACTGAGGCCACTGGGCCGTACTACCCTGAATACAAGGGGTTGCATACGGAGTGAGGCCACTGGGCCGTACTACCTGGAATACAAGGGGTTGCATACGGACTGAGGCCACTGGGCCGTACTACCCTGAATACAAGGGGTTGCATACGGAGTGAGGCCACTGGGCCGTACTACCTGGAATACAAGGGGTTGCATACGGACTGAGGCCACTGGGCCGTACTACCAAAGATCTCGGAGTCACTGTGGCGAGTTCTCTGCAAACAGCCCCCAAAAGCCAACAGAACGTGGGGAATCATTAAAAAAGGGATAGAGCCCAAGACGGACCATCTTACTACCTCTGTGTAAATCCATGGGACGCCCACAGCTGGAATACGGCGCACAGAGGTGGTCACCTCGTTTAAAAAAGATCTGTTGGCATTGGAAAAGGTTCAGACAGAAGGACAGGGCCGGCAGTGCTGGGCGGGGGGGAGCTGGGCTGGGGGACACACGGACAGGGC